TTCCCGCATTAAACGATTCTAAACACATCGGTCTGTCTGTCTACAATGTGCTCATCATGTGTATTATGGGTGCACCCATCGCTCATGTAAGTTACATTTAACACACATAACACAATTCAATACTTAAAGTTTTTATATATGTTGAAAATGGTCCTTTGAGTCGGATTATTTTATTGCAGGTGCTCGCGGACCATAAGGACGCCCTATTTGTTCTCATATCTATCTTCATCATATTCTGTACAACGGCCACTTTATGCCTGGTATTTGTGCCCAAGGTTAGTGTTTGTTATGCCATCAAACTTTTAAAAGACGTTCCAAAGTAAAGAATAACTTATGTACTAATTATTTTGGTATATCTTTCATTAAGCTTTTCTTACACAGCGGTATCACTGTCTAATGAAACAGCTTCATGGTTCAACTATTGTCAAGATTTTTCTTAGAGTAACATATGGGTCTAAACAAGATCCTGTTTTCCCAGCTACTAGAGCTACGTCGTAATGGCCAGCCGGGCGCGGCGGGGTCTCGGATCAGGGCGACGCTGCGGCCGGCCACGACACACGAGTGCCGCGACCCCGGCCCCGAGCTGGAGCGCCGGCTGAAGGAGCTGCGCCAATATAACAACCGCTACCGCCGCACGCTGCAGGCCAAGGAGAACGAACTGCAGGTAGAAAATTCATGAGTACGTGTTGAATACCACTCCACTGTCATCGTGGAAACCAATTATATCACTCTCCCCAGCTTGTCCAAAATCTTTTTTATCCTTCACTCTTACTTTTGAAGCCAGTTTGTTTTTGCTTGCTGTATGTTGACAATGTCACGCATTGCAGATGTTGCTCAGCAAGCTGGGCAGCGACGCTAGCTCGGAGTCTTCAACGCGGGAGTCGCGGTCGCCTGCGCAGCGCGTGCGTCTGCCCACCACCAGGGAGAACATCAGCCATCCAGGTTCCCACACAAGTGTTACATGTCTAAAGCCTATTGATGCTATGCTTTCTAAAGACTATTTAATCTTGGAGGACAGTAATATTACGCTTCTGTATGGTGTATCCTTCAAAATGTATGATATTTTAGCTTTAACAATATCAATTGTCTAATTTCTGTTTATAACAATTGCAGAGACCAGCGATATAACGTCAGTGTGCAGCCTCAGCGCCTCGGCTGGTGCGGAGTCAGAGTACATAAACCTGCAGAGCCAAACCAGCATTGAGAAGTAGGTCCAGTCCATAAGCAATTATGTACAACTTGTAGTTTAGCAAAAATCTAAAACAGCAAACTGTTTTCAGGCCCAAGCCCTCCGCTCCTCCAGAGCCAGTAAAAGAGGTGACCATAAAGGAGCCGAAGAAAGAACAAACGAAGAATGTATCTTTCAAGAACCACCTGGACTACACCAGTCCGCCGTCTTCTAAAGCTGTGCCTGAAAAAGACCAGCTCGCTAAACTGCCTTATGGCTGGTCTACTGAGGTAAGCATTAATAAAAAAAAGAATATAAATTATCAGTTGAGCAAAATGAGTTCCTGGATTTTTTTCTTTGTTTAGTAAGATTGAAACCAAGAGGAAATTGGGTATATTAATTACCTCTCCCATTTAATTTATCGATTTCTTTAGGAACCCCCTGAACCACCAAAGCCTATCACTAAGCCATCAGAGCCGGTGAAGGCGGAGACAAAGAAAGTGTCCGCGCTGAAGACCAGCGATTCTAGCACCGCCAAGTCTGTGCCGGCAAAGGTTCAAGAGCCACTCTATTCCAAAGCTGCAGCACCTAAAGTTCTAAAGGTACTAATTTTCTAAATCTATATTTAGAAAGGTTCTGAATGCAAGAAATGGTTCTTAAAAATATTTTATCAAATTTTACAGACCCCAGAAGCCCAGAAGAAAGTAACAAAGCCACCGGATACAACGACCAAAGCAACACCAGTGCGCGAGGTGAAGTCCCGCCACCGACGCATGTCCAGCGCCAGCCCCGCCATGCTGGCTGACCTCATGCACATCTCTGTGGACCGCGATGACCCGAGTATGGAGAGGAAGGTCATCGGTAAGTTGTTGCTCAACTCTATAGATGTAAGCGAGACAGGAAGATAAAATGTAATGATTTAGTTAAAGTGAAGGTCAAACAGAGCTCCTAGAACTCTACACTAAGGGAGATAACTTTATAACTCTGAGTATGGCAATAACTACATCCTAATATTGAAGTCCCGGAATAAGCCAAAGTATTTACGCAAATTCTTCAATTTTATCGCGATTTGTACCTATATTAAATGCAAATTGTTAAAAATTCTAACGACTAGTTTGGTGTAGATTTATAAAAATATTTTTTTAGGTCAAGAGAGAGAACCTTCCATACCACCGAAACCTAAACAAGAGCCTGAGGATATCCTGGACATAGACCATGACTTCTCCTCGATGGAAAGAAGAAAATCATGTAAGTGGTGTTTTATAAAAAGAAAAATAATTGAATATTTAAAATATCAAAATCGATATTCGATTGAGATCGATTCGAAAATTAAAAATGTTATCTCCTCTTATTGTAACATTCTAGGCCAAAGACGAGATTCAGAAAAAAGAAAGAAAGAGAGCTTTATAGTGGTGCAGAGTGACTTATGGGATACGAATACCTTCCAGTACACAAGTCAGAAATCTCCGCCAGGTACTTTAATTGCCGTAAAAATCCTATGTGTCACAACCCTAATGAATGGGAATGATAAGTGATTCATCTAGTGTTGCCTGTTAAAGTTTAAATTACCCAACTTGATAATGTACGGGAAAATAATGTTTCAAGATTTCTCGTCATGTTTTTAATATTTTTCAATTTACCAATTATATAATGTCTCTCCTACCCTCATTTTTGTTATTCAGTTATGTATATATCAAATATATAGACGAATTGAATCAAGTTATATTGTATTTCAGCTCATGCTCATTCACCTATGCAGAGAAGTGTGTCAGAAAAGAGTCGGCAACAAGCGTCGCCTCACCACCACAGGTAACAAAATGATATATGCTTAATAGTAATGTACTCGTTTAAGCAAAAGTTAGGTGTATTTCATTTGTTTGTTTTCTTACAGAGAACCTGACACAAGAAGTATGGAAAGGAGAGCTTCAAATACTTCAATCAACCATAGTAAGTTTACTGTAAAGAATATTTATTTGTTATTTAGTATCATCACAACTCTTTAATTTCTTCGTTATTCTAGATGGCACAACACGAGGTGGTACACCAGAAGGCTACCGAGACACTGATACATTGAAGATGTCAGATAGATTGTCAAAGGTATGACGGCCTCAATACTTAAGTCCATAGCCTATAGCCTTCTGTATTAAAACAAATGCCCGATGGCTTAAATACATAACTACAGAAGAGAATTTATGAGCCTACTGCTGGTTACTAATTTAAAAGTTAACAATAATAAATATTACAGCGTCGTGGCTCAGAGTTCCCGCAGCCTGTGAGCACCCCACCACACCAGCTGCAAACTAAGAGGCGACAATCTGCAGCCTATGTAAGTTTTAAGTAAATGGACTTATGTACATTATAATACCATTAAAACGCCATTTTTGTAAACGATGAGTTATGCATATGCAATGGGTTAATAAAGACGTTTTATTTTTCCAGATGCGGTCATACCAAGAAGAAAAAAGTGAAAAACCAGAAGCAACACCTCGCAGACATGACGATATTCCTAGGAAGCATACTCCTGAACCTAAAATAGAGTCAGAATCTTGGAAACCTGACCCTGACACAATAAGAGTAGCGAAAGGACCGGAATCACCGGCCAAAAGGTTGAAACAAGAAGCTGAGCCCTTAAAGAGAGCAAAAGGTGTAGGGGAATCCCCTAAGCTAACTCAGGCGACTCATCAGACAAGACCTGATCATCATAAGAGTAGCCCTAATGTGGCTTCAAGACATAAAATGGGTAAGTTAAATGACTATGTTCAAAGTTCAAACCACAAATTTAATTTTTTAGATTGTGACTTAGACAGTTTAAAAATAATTTGGTTTACATTTCGTATTTTGTTTTGTTAACACTTCGCGTATTTTATAGAGTCAAATGGCAAAAAAGAAGAACGTAAATCAGCTACATACGGCAGAAGTGATTCGAAACGCCAAGATTCTGCAGAGCAACGTAAAATGTACACAGCTAGTTCGGAATCGGAATTGTTCGAGTGCGCAATTCTGCCCATCTTTCAAAAACTTCTCACTGAGAGACACAAAAGTCAGCCGCACGGTTTAAATTTAAGCTATGGTGTTAGTTGTCCCAATATTTCAATTAAATGTGACATAGTTGAATATTTGTAAGATTTATTATTAAATTTAACTTCGATTAAAGTTAAATATCAAAGAGAAAAAAGTACTTATCGATCTATAAAAGTGTTATTTCACAAATGTAGGTGAATTTTATTTAAAAATATATTGAAACTTTTCGCAAAATCATCGATATTACGATTACTTTTCATTGTGTAGTTAGTTAAAATAAAAATATATAAGGTAGTTGATAAGTTCTCTTTATAAGCAATTTTAAGTGACTCTTCTACAAACACTTCTTATATTTTATTTTCTGTGACTACTATTGCTTACTGCTCAATTTTACTTTCTTATTTTTTTAAATATAAAAAATATTTAAATAGAGCTTTTACACAGGACTATTTTAGATTTTACTTTTTTTTTTATCTAAAGTTGCTATTTTAGTACAGCAGGATCAACAAAATATCTAGCAAAATAAAACAGTGTAAGGAATCGCACAGAATTGCACAAAATATACACTTGACTCTCTCTCTTTAACATATGTACTATATTTCCGAAATAAGATTTGGTACCTCTTATGGTAAAAGGCCTAAATATTTCACATCAATCTTCAGAAAGCGAACTCTTGTTACTGTCAACTATGTAGAGCATTATCTTGTCTTCTTCCAAAGGTTGACGGAATATTTAGTGCTGCTTACTGTACTCTCTTTTGTGATATATACTATAAGAAAACATAGTCAATAATTTAAGTGTTCAATTATTTTAAGTTGATATAATTAATACCTTAGTCTAGTCTTTCATCCAAATAAAAATTAATTATAAACCCATCTTAAGTTTTGTTACTAAAGATTATTTTTAATATGTTACAGGTAGACAATTTTCTATTCTATACATCTTTAAACATTATGGTTCTAAAAGTAAACTTAATTATATGTTTATTGTGTAATATTTTACATTAAGTATTTTATTGTTCGTAAATCATCTCAAAATGTTTAATGCTAAAATATTATTTATCCAGTTTTGCACGTAAATAAAGACTCAAAAGCAAATTAAATAAAATTACTGAAAAGTGTATTATATTAGTTTTATTTACGTTTTAAAAACGATTTTCTAAAAGTAATGCAGTAAAAAAAAGCGACTGCAACGATTTTATAGTTTGAGCAAAGGTCATAATCAACTATTACTTGCCCCATTCTTGTGTTACCCGATAACATGGGGAGTTCTTAAAATTTTTTAACTAGAGGTGAATGAATTGATCCAGTTCCTTATGTCACTGTCAAATTTTTGTTAGGTATAGTGATGCCACCGATAAAAGTCTCGATTGAAATATTTCAAATTCCCATTTATTTTAATTTAAATTTCAAAGTTTTTTTTTCATTGTAATTTATCCATTAATAGAAAGAACAATAGTCAAAATTAACAATTTACAAACAACACCGGACAAATCTGGTTTCAGAAGCTTCTAAATAATAATCGAAATTTTGTAATATCAACGCTCTTTTTGGTATTTGGACTAAAAGCATTACGAAAGAGCCAACTTGTAAGACTTTCGAATCGTATAACATTGATATTAACATTTTATTGAAAAATAAATTTTGTTCAAATTTGTTAACGACGATCAAAAAACGATTGTTATCGTACAAGAGCGGAATATGAGCCAACACTCAAGGATGAGCGAGTCGAGTGAATGGTTCAATTGAATGAATGAGTGAGTTTGTGTTAGTATTATTCTGTCTTTGTAGCAGTTCGGTTGTGTTTTTTTTTATTTGTGTTAGTTGTATTTTAACATTTTTAAGTGAGTTTTTGTGTTGTAAATTGTGTTTATTAATGTAATTGGAGTGCTTGAAAGTGGTCAAGATGCCGGTGTTTCACACGAAAATTATTGAGAGTATCTTGGAGCCGGTGGCTCAACAGGTGAGTTAGCGAAATGTTACAAAATAAACCATAATTATTAATAGATCGTGTTGTCTAGTTTCGGAGGTGTCAAATTTTAGTTCATTGTTTACGTTTGTTTAATGTAAATGGTTATGTCATCAGCTTTTTGGTACGCTGTAAGGTAAACGTGTTAATTATTAATGTCTGACTTTGAATGTCGTTAAGGAACATTTGACGTATAACTTTGTATTATTTGAATGTATAATATAAAAGGTTGATATATGAAAGAATATTGAAAGGCGATGAGTAATGGTTCGGGTTATTATTTTATCTTGAGTCGGAATGTTATTTTAGTTTGCTGACTCACAGGCGTCTTAGTTGCGGTCAATGTTTTCGTTGTTAATTAATGTTACACATTCCAATTTGATTTTTGAAATCAACACAAATTAAAACCAGACATCTAATATTAAAAAAAACATACTTAAATCCCAAATCCGAAAAAAACATACTTAAACTTCGAAGCCACCATTTGGCTTTGATTATTGTTTTTAAGATGACTTAAAATGCAGTTTGTTGACAACAACTTTCAGCAGCAATTAATTTCAACCAAAAAAAGCAAACTTTTATACAAAATAATAACTAAAAGATATCTACTTATTATAACTATTAAAGTAAAGTAAATACTAGCTGTTGGTTGCTTTGTGAAATAAAAAAAACCTTAGTGTTTTGTTCTGCCGTTATTGTGTAATTATGTAATGGAACAAAATTAATCTATCTAATGTGAAGAATATGTGGCTGAAGTATCTTGTCAAGTAATATAACATCGCTATTCTGCTTTAGAGAGTCATGGGTGTAGTCAGTCAATTGATAAATTAATTAAAAAAATCAAATTCACCAGTAAATCATGCTCATATCTACAGACATCTATCTCTCAGATACTTTGGAGGCAAAAGCTTTAATGTTTTATGTTATTTTTAGTATCAATAAACAATTTAGTCAAGTGTCCTCGAGCTGCTGAGACATCCGTAGTTACATAAGTGTCCCTTCATCTGTTGGTCTCAGGAAGGTCACATTGGTTAATACTTTTGCTGCCAATATGACTGTATAATATTATCTACTACTAAAATAAAAAATTATATAGTAATGAAAATAATTTGTCTTCCGGAGAAAGTGTAGCTTGTCAACAGTGAAAGAATTTTTCAAATTAGTTTAGTAGTTTTGGAGCCTATTCAATACAAAGAATCAAATCTTTTCTCTTTTATTATTAGTAAAGATAAAAGGATATAACAACATGAGAAAAATAGACATAGCCCATGAAACAAACAATAAATTAGAGTTAAAGATAAGTATTTAATGTGTACTTATTTT